AATATTTTTAAATTAAAGAGTGGAAGAGTAAAACTGAAAATTAATTTATTTTCAGACGTCAGCTCTTTGTAGTTATCAAACAGTTTGGTTTAATTCAGTACTTAAATTTTAGTGGATATCAAACAGTTTATAAATTCAGCATGCAACTTTCAGTTTTTTATACTTAAGCTTTTAGTTTTAATGAACATAACCTAACAGTATTTTTTATTCTAAATCACTTCTGTCGAATGGAATCACTTATTTTCTTCAATTTAAACATTCCCTTTTCAAAAACCATTGTTCCATTATGTGGTCAAAAAACAAAAAAGAAAGATGTATTCTATAAGAACTTTACATGTAGTAATTAGTTGGAAGCACACTTACCTTATTTACAAACTCTATCATGCATCATCACCTGTATGTGTGGTATGGTAATATACAAACTACATCATATGTATTGTGGATTATTGTTAAAATTGTCTTTGATTATTGTTGCATGCACGATTTTGAGTGATTTGTAAAATAAAGAAAAAATAAAATTGAGGAAGAAACCCAACTTCGAGGGCGGCGAAAACCTCCAATGGCTCCATTTGAGAAGAACCTATCTCCAAAACTTCCACTAGAAAATCCAATACAATATTCAACATGTTCATTTCATTGATAGGAAGACGTTTAAATACAAAATTATAAAACTAATTTAATAACTAACTCGACCCATGATTTCATTATTCCATTATCGTGCACGTAACAATCGGTATAGTATTTTATGGGTAGTTTCTTAGGTGGTTACTAAGATAATGGAATAATGGGTCAAGTTAATTATTAAAATAGTTTTATTATCTTGTATTTAAACGTCTTTCTATCAATGAAATGGACATGTTGAATATTGTATTGAACTTTCTTGTAGAAGTTTTGGAGATTCGGTTCTTCTCGAATTGAGTCATTAGAGGTTTTCAGTCCCCTCGAAGCGGGTTTTCTTTATGGATTTTATTTTTTCTTTTTTTTACAAATTACTCAAAATCGTGCACGTAGCAATTATCATTCGGTACATAGTGCAATCAATCCACAACTGTTGAGTAAGCAGAAGATAGGTGCATATATTTCTCGTAGTTCTTGAGATGAATTGAAGAAAGGGATTTACCAAATTTGGTAATGTAGAAGTAATATGAATGCCCATATTCTGTGTATGAAAATAGCAACTTTGTGCATTCATGTAAGCTGCCGCTGTTGGTAAAATTGAAATTCATTTTGACATTCATATAAAGAGTTCTGCTTCAAGTAAATCTTCTGCACTGTCTACGACAATTTGGGAAATATTGTTGTTGAAGAAGATATGCAAAATGCTTCTTGTCATGACTTCAATTTTGGTATATCTTGCTGAGAATTGTTTGTAACTGGCTCTATCTTCCCTTATTTTTTTTTCCAGGTTGATATGAGAGCTCGAATTCATGGAAATAAAGGCTACTAAAGGACAGGGGCGGCCTAACAGTATGGAAAAAAAAAACATGGGTTTTAGGCCCCAAATTTTTAGAAGACTCCATAATTTTAGGTACATTACTAGCCCACAAAAAAATTAAATCTATTAAATTTTAAGCCTTATAAAAAAGTCCCAAAAAATTAAATTCAATCAAAATTTTTATTGAAATAATTTAAGCCTATAATCCAATCCATAATATTAAATACTTAAAAATTAAAAAAATACCCAAAAGTCAACTCATATTTATTATCTCTCTCTCCAGTAAAAAAAATAAAAGTTAAAATTAATCATTCTCTCTTCCTCTATGTGGTAAAAAACAAAAATAAAAGTTAAAATATTTTTTTTGATAATATTAACACATCATTCTATGGATGTCCATGGGCCGGGCCGGGCTTGAGTAGTGTAGGCCCAAGCCCGTACTTGGCCCAGTGGCGGGCCGGGCTGGGCAGGGGCTTCGGGTAAGGGTAAGTAGTCTGTCACCTATTGGGCGGGTTTCGCGGGAGGGGGGGCCTTTTGTTGGGCCTATTGGGCGGGCCTGTTTTGGGCAGACTTGTTGGGCCCTATTGAAAAAATATACAACTTTATTTAATTTTTTTGTAAATTATATTTTTGAATTAAAAGTATGGTCAAAATCAAAATGAACAAAAATTAAATAGTGAATAATTTTATTTATGAATAGAAGAGAAATTGCATCACTATAAAATGAGTACATCCCAACTAAGTTGGCACCTACCCACCTATCTATCATTTGTACAATTCTACCCCATTAAAGGCTTTTGTAATTGAGGGTCAATTAACATACCAAAATCAATGAATATAGGAAGTAGTGAAAATATTTATTAAATTTAGATTGCATATTATGTAAAATAGTAGAAAATTCGGATTCATTACTATATTGTTCAAAAAGATCACTGATACTAACTATATGAATATAAGCAAGTATAATAGTTGGATAATAATTACCAAATAAAGTCATAGTTGACTCATAAAAAACTTTCATTTTATCAATGACATTCAATTCCTCTTTAGTGGGATACGATAATGAACTAGTGGTATCTATACTAACATAGTCATTTAAGGCAACTTTATATTTAACTGCTACATCTAACATTTTATAGGTGGAGTTCCACCTATATTGTACATCATATGATATTTTTTACATTTTAAAGTATTCTTTTTATACATAGTTCTAAATATCCTAAGTTTATTTTCAGAACCTATTATATGATAAATAATATGTCTAAATTTATCAATTATAAATCTAATATCATAAAGACCACATTGTACTATAAGATTTATGATATGACACATATATCTCATATGAAAAAAAGTACATTCACATGATAAAGTTAAATAACATTTTAAATGACTTACAACCCTATTATTATTTGTTGCATTATCTAAAGTAATAGTAAAAATATTGTCTTTAATACAATAAATTTATAACTGATTATAAATAATTTCAAAAATAACTTATGTACTATGATTATCTTCAATCCTCGTAAAAGTATTAATTTGTTTTTGCATAACTCAATTATCATCAATAAAATGAGTAGTTATACATAAATTTCTTAATTGTTGGCAAGAAGTCTAAATATCAGAAGTCAAACAAATTTTACTTTTAAGATTATCAAAATAAGCAATTAAATTATTTTTTTTCTTATACATAATATTTAATAACACTCTTTTACATGTTTGAAAAAATTTTGAATGGAGACTCACATTCAAAGATGTGAAAAATTTGAACTTAACTCTTACCGACCAAAATTAAAGTCTCATCTATCACCTACCATTCATTCAAGTCTCCAACTCTTTTTTTTTTGGAACAAAAGTCTCCACCTCTTAACATAAACATGTATGTTTGATAAAAAAAAAAAAAAAACATATATGGGCGGGTATGGGCTTTAGGCTTCGGATATGTGAACGGGTTATTGGGTCGGGTATTTGGGCGGGGCTTCGATTTCAGGGCGGGTTTCGGGCCGAGTAATGGGTTTAGGGGTAAACTTAAGCCCTTTCTTAAAGAATATTGGGCTTCGGACCTATTTTTTCGGGCCAGGTAATGGAACCCGTGGATAACCCCGCCCATTGACACCCCTACATCATTCTTTTGTCTCTCTCTCACATAGAAAATTAAAAATAAATTATTTTTTTTAAAAAAATAAAAAAACCTACATTTAATGTTTTCGTTTTAGGCCTCAAATTGACTTGAACCGTCCATACTAAATGATGGTTTGATAACTGGATTTAGTGCGGAAAATGAAAGAGTTCAGATCTAAGGTGGTCTCATTGACAAAATTATTGTAACAACTAATTTTTGTCATCTTTTGATTTTGCAGTTCTCCCAGATTTCCATGCACCATTTTCTTTGAAGATTGTGGAGACAAAGGTGGAGGCAAAGTTCTGAAATGGGTGAAAATTCAATTTTTTAAATTTGAGGAACAAGTTTGCATCCCCAAGTATAACATTTTATTCCACTGGGTTCTCTCTAGTATTTGCCATTTTTTTCCATTTTCTGTAACCCTGAAGCAGAAAGGAGCTATAATAAAAATAGGGTTAATTACATCATGGACCCCTAAGGTTTGTCATTTAATCAAACTAACTCTTCTTGATGGAAAATAACACTACTCACCCTTTCTGAAAAACGATTTGGAGACTAAACTGGGGAAATGACAAGAAATGACCAATTTGCAACAAATTATTCATGAAGATAGATCAAATTAATTGAAATTAGGAAAATTGGAGGCTAAAAGACCAATTTACCCCTTTGAAGCATATCTAAATTTCGTGCAAGTTCAATCCACATTTGATGTCAAACATCCTAAACTTGTTGCCAAGCAAATTTTCATACTTTTACTTGCTCTCTATAAAGCATCACCCTTTGATACTCTCCCCTCATCCTTACCCTTTTTCTAATTTTTCTCTCAGAGTCTTTGAGATAACCACCCAAACCTTCCATTGTCTTACCTTGTTCCACCATAACTTTATCGCAAATTGAGCTCGCTTTTGCTTTCAACCCAAAAAATATCAATTTTTTTGATACACTTTGGCTTCAACACTATAATCAATGCAAAGCATGAAGCTTCCTTAATACGTGTGGTGGTGGTGGTGGTACAAACATGAATGTCCATAAGTATAAAGTGAGTGATGGTGATTTGTGTCTTTGTTGCTTGCCTAGTGTTATGTATGTTTAGGTGCAAGGTGAAGGATTTGAGTGGTGGAATATAACATTGGCAATTATCTCAAATATGGGTTGGTTTTCTCACGAATTTCATGTGAATGATTTGGGCAATTTATGCCCAAAACATGCTAATGTAGTGTAATGTCAGGGGGGCTAATTGCCTTCCAAAAAATAAAAAGATCCGGGGCTAATTTCAACAAAAAATCAAAACTTAGGGTTTCAGTTGTTATTTTCAATCAATAGGGGGTCTCTCCGATCTCTTCACTACCTCGCGGGGGTCTGGATGCAATAAATAGTGGTTTAGGTGTTGCTTTGTGCACTCGCATTCAAGCGTTGTGCCGCTACAGGCGATTCATTAGCTAGCTCTCTCTCTCTCTCTCTCTCTCCTGTACAATGGCGAACCCCACTGTGGCCACCAACTCCACACATCCTTCTCCTATTCCTCCCTCCGTTAAGGCAGAAAACGATCCACCACCATCACAGTACCAGTCAGGAACACCCGATGTCAAACAAGAAAATACCCACAATCCAACACCACCCACACGGCCTCCCCAACAATCATCGCCGCCACCACCACAACCACCTTGTTTCATCAACTCAATCACCGAACTCCGCCACCTCTCCACCGCCCTCTCCGCTTTCCAACGCCGCTACGAAGAGCTTCAACAACACTTCGATTTCATCCGAACCTCCATTGACTCAAAATTGCCCCAAGACCTTATTATATCCCCACCACCACCCCAAAAATTGGCAAATGTCACTGCAATCGAAACCTCCTCGCAAACCTTTGTCCCCGAATCAGCGATTGTCGAACCCAAAACAACCCCACCACCACCACAAGAATTGACAATTACTCCTGTAATCGAAACCCTCTCGAAAACCCTTGTCCCCGAATCAGGCAATTTGGAACAAAAAACAGACAATGACAAGTCCCCCAAAACTGAATTGGAACGTCTCTGCCAAATCATGTGTAGCCGCGACATCCGAAAATATGTAGCCACACATCTATCAGACATCAATAAACTCCGTGAAGAAATTCCCAGAGCCTTGAAATTCGCAAAGAGCCCGGCAAAGCTTGTTCTCGAATGCTTCGGGCGGTTTTTTTTACAGGGTACTAAAGCATATACGAAGGACTCGCCTATGATTCCGGCGAGAGAGGCGTCGGTTCTGATATTGGAGTGTTTTTTGCTTATGGATCGTGATGGGGTTGAGATTGATGGCGCAGTGAAGGGAGAGGCAGAGTTGGCCTCAGTGGCTTGGAGAAAGAGACTGATAAGTGAAGGGGGATTGGGCAAAGCTTGTGAGATTGATGCTCGGGGGTTGCTGCTCTTAGTAGGGTGCTTTGGGATTCCGCATGAGTTCAAGAATGAGGATATTAGGGATTTGATTCGGACTGGTAATGTGAAGGAAATCTGTGGCGCTCTTCGCAGGTCAACTGTTCTTATGGCTAGAATTCGAGGTAATGTTGTGGACATCGTGTTGCTCGTAATTCCAATAAATCATAATCAATATGTTGTTGATTCTTTTGTGGATCATGTGCCAAATATATATAAAGGGTATTAGCTTGGGTATGTAATCTATTTTTTGTGTTAATGATTCGAGCTTTATTGTGTTTGTTAATGGAAGATAGAATTCATAAAAGAATAATATAGATAAGCTTAGGGGACATCCACATGGGAGAATCACCATTCACCACCATTACTAGGCTTAATCAGGAAAATTAACCGCATAGTGCCAATTACTTTTCTGCTTTTTCCCTAAGAGCTAGAGAAGGTCCTGACATCCTAGGGAGAAAATCATCAACCCACGAAGAAACAAAAGGTTATGGTGTCCAAGTGAGAAACTTTCCTATAGAATTTATCAATCACCATAGTTTTTGTCCCCTCAAAGTTATAGTCAAGGAAACACCAATCTGTCTGAGTCTTTTTTTTTTATAGGTTCCAATCAGTCTGATTATACACTTTCTCTATGTTCACTTTTGAAGCAACACTAAATATATGGTCCTATTCATGATTTCCTCTTGTCCTCCACACTAGTAGGGGGCAAAGTGGCTTTACTAATTCACTGAGGAGGTGTCTACTGTTTAGGGGAACAGGGTTGCTAATCGGTATATAGCCTACAATTGAGCCTTCCACCTCCACCACGACTCCATATCAACATATTTAACATTGTCCTTGTCACAAAACATACATGGTTGCAAATATAAATAATCATGTATATACCCGTTTTAAAAAAGTAGCAGAAACCACACTGGATCTTGGTTTAAAGGCCTGAAAACGTGAATTTTTTTTGATCAATTTTGTTTAGCGCTGTGATGTAAAAGTTGGATTGAAATGAGGTGGTTGGAGTTTAAGGTTTTATAAAGAAAAAAAAAATTAAAATTGGAAGAGAGATTTCAAAGAGAGGGAAGAGTAGGCATAGAACATATGAGAGAAGGCATTCAACCTCACAAAAAACATATCTTGATTGTGGGTAAAGAAGTCACATCTAGGTTCTAAGGTATCCTTGTTTAAGAGAGCATAAACCATGTATCTAGTGATGGGAGCCAGTAAACTAAACCCAAATAAAACTTTTGACTTGAATCATGTTAATGCCAACCACACTTAACTATTCTTTGTCGCGGCATGACTCTATGACATCATACTAGAGTTACGAAGCGAACAAACTTTTTGATGGGTCCTGCTGTAAAATTCAACCAATTTTTTATACCCGCATTAAATTCTCTCTCTTGTGCAATATTGACATACTAATTTGTGGTTGTATATAATTATGATAACCGTATGAGATCCATCAACGGATTGGAAGGTAGCATATGGGTGTTAGTCGCTAATGCAGCAGAAGTAAAACTTCTCTTTTTATATTACATAATTCATTGTACGACTCTTACTTTTGGCTTTGCTCATTTGCTGAACATTGCTTACTGGTCAACATAGTGTACCATAAATATAACTCCCCACAGTTGTTTTACAAAATTTCCACTTTATTGGATTATAGCACTAAGCAGCACCTCTCACTTAAAGGTGGTGCATACTTACTTTCGGACCTTTTTTTTCCTTGACTCATAATGCAAGCGTCATGCAAGTGTGCTACAAACTTGTACTACTATGGCAACATCCTTAAATCTCTTGCTGCAGTATGGATAATTGAACCAAGATCATAAACTTATAACATGAAAAATAACCTAGATGATGGAAAAGTTTGCCTTGTGCATCTCTACCACGGTCTACCTAAGTTTTTGAGTTAGTATCTGTACTAAATTGAATTTCAGGAGCATAATCATAAGAATTAGTGATACCTAATATCTAAGACTGTTCATTGGCANAAAGGCCTGAAAACGTGAATTTTTTTTGATCAATTTTGTTTAGCGCTGTGATGTAAAAGTTGGATTGAAATGAGGTGGTTGGAGTTTAAGGTTTTATAAAGAAAAAAAAAATTAAAATTGGAAGAGAGATTTCAAAGAGAGGGAAGAGTAGGCATAGAACATATGAGAGAAGGCATTCAACCTCACAAAAAACATATCTTGATTGTGGGTAAAGAAGTCACATCTAGGTTCTAAGGTATCCTTGTTTAAGAGAGCATAAACCATGTATCTAGTGATGGGAGCCAGTAAACTAAACCCAAATAAAACTTTTGACTTGAATCATGTTAATGCCAACCACACTTAACTATTCTTTGTCGCGGCATGACTCTATGACATCATACTAGAGTTACGAAGCGAACAAACTTTTTGATGGGTCCTGCTGTAAAATTCAACCAATTTTTTATACCCGCATTAAATTCTCTCTCTTGTGCAATATTGACATACTAATTTGTGGTTGTATATAATTATGATAACCGTATGAGATCCATCAACGGATTGGAAGGTAGCATATGGGTGTTAGTCGCTAATGCAGCAGAAGTAAAACTTCTCTTTTTATATTACATAATTCATTGTACGACTCTTACTTTTGGCTTTGCTCATTTGCTGAACATTGCTTACTGGTCAACATAGTGTACCATAAATATAACTCCCCACAGTTGTTTTACAAAATTTCCACTTTATTGGATTATAGCACTAAGCAGCACCTCTCACTTAAAGGTGGTGCATACTTACTTTCGGACCTTTTTTTTCCTTGACTCATAATGCAAGCGTCATGCAAGTGTGCTACAAACTTGTACTACTATGGCAACATCCTTAAATCTCTTGCTGCAGTATGGATAATTGAACCAAGATCATAAACTTATAACATGAAAAATAACCTAGATGATGGAAAAGTTTGCCTTGTGCATCTCTACCACGGTCTACCTAAGTTTTTGAGTTAGTATCTGTACTAAATTGAATTTCAGGAGCATAATCATAAGAATTAGTGATACCTAATATCTAAGACTGTTCATTGGCATTTAGTTTCTGCTTTCGAAGGCCTTTTATATGTTTTCATTTTCACCTTTTTTTTTTCTGGCCAACTAAGAAGGCTTCTAGGTGCTGTTTTCAGGTTGAAGTATTAAGATTGCAATGGTACATGCCTAATTATTGCTTACATTAATTATGGTTTTTTTTTTTACTTTTAGCGGTGCTAAAGACATAATGCCTGATCATTGATTTTGATTTCTCACTCTACCATCAAAAATTAAATCTTTTACAGGGATAATTGAGGGTATGATAAAGCATAAAATGGAAATTGAAGCAGTTGATATTGCTTATACATTTGGGGTTTATGAAAGTTTCTCCCCCAAGACAATTTTGACTTCATTCTTAAGAGAGTCTAAAGAAACGTGGAAGAGAGCAACAAAAGCCACAGAGAGTTCAATTGCTGCAGTGGTATGTCTATTTTGCATCTCTTCTAACATTTCTTACTGTATTTTTATGTTGATGCTGCAATCTTATTATGGCCCAGAATAAAGCAAACAAAAAGCAATTAGCTGATCTGAAGGCGGTAATCAAGTGTTTGCGAGATCACAACATTGACCACTCAAAGCTTCTTCCTGGATGGCAAATTAATGATAGGATATCAAGCTTGGAGAAAGAGATTGCTGATCTTGATAAGAAAACAGAAGTGAAGGTGATGCCGAAGAGAAAGGTAGATGAAATGGAATCCTCGAAATGGTTAAAAACCCAAGAGATTAAACGTTCTCGGGTTGCTGACCATGTGCCACAGCAGCATAGAGCTGCTGGTCATGTGGAAAGCAGGAGCCCTTATGACAGGCTGACACCAATGAATTTGTTGGATGGTGGACTTCCTGTTAACATTAGTTATTCTGATTCCCCTTATGTACTGCATGGATCTGGTGCGGTTCTATTGCCTGAATATACTGCTGGCTCCATAACGGGGCGTGGAAGTGGTGTGTTTGCCCCTGGATTTGAAGCTGGTATATCAGCGGGCACTGGTGGTGATCTGCCCACAGGCTCATATGCTGGGGCTCGACAGATGATGAATCCGAATGGTCAACCATATGGATGGCGTGGGGATGCAACTTTTGATGAACGGTTGGTTGCTCACAATTTTGCTGGACAGGCTCCTGCTGTTGGCCTGACTAGTTTGTACAGGCAATCATCATCTTTCGAAGGCTTTGTTGGGTTGCCAAATGCCTCATCAGTTGGGGTTTCGAATAGGAGCTCTGCATCTGATCTCTATCAGTTTGCCGATTCTGTTCTGGACAGTGATTTGTATCGGGGAAGTGGTTCTCGCACTGTTAGTACTGTGCCTCGTGTTGTACCTGCTCATCGCTCATCTTATTTGTATTGAAGTACCGACTCTGCTTCGTCCAGACATTTGTTTTGTCTCTTTTTTAGGCCCCTAGATCCTATTTAACAAGTGCTGCAATATGTAGAAGGCTTTTCATTTTTGCTGTGATTATAACGGATGCTCAATGTTAGTTTTGGTGGTAGCCCTGCATCTTGTAATAGCTTGTGGTAATTGCCAAAAGATAGCTTTTAAATTTAACTCAACAAATGAATGTTCGTCTCTCTATACGTTGGCTATGGAGTTCTTGTTTTTGATCATCTAATGAAAGGAAAGGACCTAAAATGCCATATCTAGAGGTTGGACCATAAGCAATATTGAATAATCATACTTTTAAGTGATTTTTCAGGGATTTGAGTTAAATCAACTTCTTCACAATAAGTTAAGATAATGGTAAGATTGAGATTTAGGATATGTACTTCTATGTGGGTGCATATGCTAAATGGCAATACAGCATTAAATTGCAAGATAAAAAAAATGAGTTTATTTTAGCAAATTTACTTACGAAAACCACAATTTTTCTTGCTCTGTAAACCCATACTATTTCTTATTATTTTCAGAATAAACCAATGGAGTGTCCAATAATTCTATCCAGTTGCTTAATTAAGGGTAAATTGGATCAATGGTTCCAGGGGTTTATTGTAAGTCGCATTTTGATCCTCAAAGTTCACACAATTGACTAATATAGTCCTCAACACTAACTGTCGTTACTAAAAATATCATGTGTCTAGCACAAGATAGTATTGACGGATAATTTTGGTACTTTAAAATAATTTCTACATCAAAACACCACTATCCCTTAAAAGAATAATCTCAAACATGGTACCGAACACAAACTTCTCCTTATCTTCTTCTTTTCTCTCACTCAGAGGCGTCTCTCTTTGTATCTGATTAGCTCTTTTTTTTTTTTTTTCAGCATCAGTCTGTCTTTACTCTTGTCTCGCCCATCAAACAACGTATCCATTGTAGACATTAAAAAATTTAATTAAAAAATTAATGTCTATAATTGGGTTCAAATCAATTAAATAAATGAAATTGGGTTGGAACTAAATTTCATAAGCCCAAATGATATAAGTCTAAATATAATTAAATAAGCTTGAGTTGGACCTAAATTCTACGGCCCAAATAATAGATGCCAAAATATAATTAACAAGGCTTGCTAAATTAAATGGACTTAAATTCCAGAAGTCTAAATTAAACAAACATTTAAAAAGTTGGACTTAAATTTCATAAATTAACTAAAGCCCACAAATTTACGGGTAGTCCACTACCTAAAGTCCACACAAGGGTATTCAGGTAACATACCTTTATATGGATAACTACTCCTACCACTATATATAGAGGTCTGGGGTAGGCCAAAAAGGAGGAGGAAGGAAAAAGAAGAAGCCAAGGAGAAAGGAAGATCAGCGAAGCTCTGCTCGAAGTTCACTAAAGTTTTAAAGTCTTGCAAGTTCATCTCCAAGAAGAAGAACACACCGCCAAAGTCCTTCTTCAAGAATCCAAATCATCTTCAAGTCATTCCAAACGAAGAACGGTGAGGAGATTCATCAAAAGCATCATCAAATTGAAGAGTAGGAGATACATTGATCCATCTCTCGTTTTCATCAAAGCCACCAATTGAAGAGTGAGAAATACACCAATCTAGCCTTTATCTTCACTAAATTCATCAATTTCATCAAATTTATTGAGAATCAGAAGACAGTGTATGTGCGAAGCACGCTGAAGAGAGTCAACACTACATTTTTTACTTAAAATCAATCAAACTGACTATTGTAACTTGATCTTATTTTGTGTTAATTCATTTCACGAAATTTGTCGTTACAATTTTTGGCAAGTCTAGTGGGACCCTCTCTTCCTCTCATCTCTCAAGTCAACAAGCTTGACAATAATGACAACTAAAGACATCGTGATTCCTCCCACCGACAGGTCAGCGGACTTGATCGAGGAGTCAATTCCAATAATCCGTACCAGAACAAAGGCGGGTAAATCTCAACTTTTGCCACCGATGGAGCATCGATCTAGGCAAAGCAAAATGAAGGCTCTTCCAAGTAGAAATAGATAACATGCTCATTCTTCTATTGATTTGGAGGAAGAGACAGACGATTCTTTGCCTGACACACACTCCAGCACAGGCTTGAAGACTGAATCTTACTCCGAGATTTCTCCTAAACAGAAATGGGGTGATTATTCCTCGGCCTCTGATATACCTATGCCTGTGATGGTGACGGAAGTCACTTCATCTGAAGAACATCTTCAACAACTCACTGCTATGGTCGAGAAGTTGACCAAGGCCCTTGAAGGTAAAGAAATGCAAATTACTGCACTCGTGAACCGACTTGAATTGCAAGAACCTTCAAAAGGAAGCAGTCAAGAAACTTCAAGTCTTTCTGGTGCTAAAATGCCAGAAAATCCAAAGTTTTTAGAACAACAACAAAAACAAGAGCAATATGATCGAGCTGTGGCACAAAATGTCATGCGAGATTCTTCTCAAATGTCTGTTGCCGCACTCTCTGTCCAACAACTTCAACATATGATTGTTGATACCATTCGAGCCTAGTATGGAGGAGCTTCCCAGTCTTCATTAGTATATGCAAAGCCATATACCAGACGAATTTACAAGATACAAATGTCAATAGGCTACCAAACCCTGAAGTTTCAACAGTTTAATGGGAAAGGCAACCCAAAACAGCATGTTGCTCATATCATTGAAACATGCAATAATGTCGGTACCTACGACGACCTGATGGTGAAACAATTTGTGCATTCCCTCAGAGGGGCTACGTTTGACCGGTATACTGATCTAACAGTTGGGACTGTTGATAGTTAGGACCAACTTGAACGAGAGTTTCTCACTCGTTTCTACAGCACTCGACGTATGGTAAGTCTTTCTGAACTTACAGGAATAAAGCAAAGAAAAGACGAACCTATCATTGATTACATTGAATGCTGGAGGAGTCTTGTTCTCAATTGTAAGGAACGCATTAGTGAAGCCTCTTCGATTGATATGTGTGTCCAACGAATGCATTGGGAACTACTCTATAGTCTCCAAGGAAACATGCCCTATACGTTTGAAGAACTTGCAACACAAGCCCATGACTTAGAAATTCAAATTTCTAGGCACAAAAATTACTTTCTCAGAGACCCTCGTGAAACGAGAGACGTAAAGAAAGATGTGAAAGCCTCCAAATCAAAAGAGTCTTTGACAATCTCCACTACACCGGTGAAGATTATTGATAAAAAGCCAAAGATAGACTTCCAAGTCAAATTTAATCAAGTTTAGACTCAAAAGAAGACAAGACCAAGTTTGAAAGAGCTTGAAGAGAAGAAATATCCCTTCACTAATGATGACATGTCAAATATTTTTGATCAACTACTCGAGTTAAAACTTATTGAGCTTCCAACACTCAAGCGGCCAGAAGAATTGGGAAGGGTTGATAATCCGAAGTATTGTAAATATCATCAGATTATTAGTCATCCCCTTGAAAGATGTTTTATCTTAAAGGAAGATATTTTTCGTTTATTGAACGAGAAAAAATTAAACTTGATTCTAGCGAAGAAATGACAACTGCAAATGTGACAATTGTCACTTTTGGGTCCTGCGACCCTATACCAATTTCAAACAAAGGAGCACAATCATCACCTCTGATACATCTTAAAGAACCATCACAATCATTAAATTCTTCTATCTCTGCAGGAGAAACATCGTCAACCAAAAGTAAAGAACTTACCGTTCCTTTTCCTGAAGGAGCTGTGCAAGTACAATTAATTGTTGATAGTGAGATAACAACGGTATATGCATACCCAGGTATGTCGAGGCATAAAAATCTCAACATTCCAACGATTTTATGAACTCATGACAGATGATCTAAATGTTTGGGCATCATCATCTGAATTAGAAGACGAGATCGGGGATGGTTAGTCAACCTTTGTCAGCAAAAAAGATAAATATTGAACCTCGATTACTAACACACAGTCATCTAATCTACTAGGCGACTTGGAGCTCATGCCAGGAGCACCTATTTTGGATCTCAAACCAAGTGGGTGGCCTCCTTTGGATGATTTTGTGGCTACTGAAGAAGATTTGGGGGAATGTTCTATGGTGAAACCTCGGAGAGTGTGTAAGCTACAACATTCATCTCCTCCAACTAATAAGCCAAAACACCCCAAACAAAGAGGGGACCTCATTCTCGCTGAAATCGAAGACGTGGAGGAAAAAGAAGAGTGTCTTCCCAGCCGACAACCATTGATGATGAAGATTATAAGTTACGTTCTCGCACACCTGTAACATTGATGTAATATTTTTCCAAGCAATTATTTACAAGGGAATCAATTACATCTTATGTGATTAGTGCTTGTGAAGAAAAATGTATAACTGAGGCTCTACTAAATAAAGATTCAGATACCAAAAATGCTCAGAAAGAGGTATTGACAGATGAAGAATAAATGATTGAAAGGTTCAGAGAAATTCCATCAAACCTAATTCTTCATGAGGCACTTGAATTACCCAAAGAAACCCGAAAAATGTTAGTACAAGCTTTGGTCAACCCAGAAAAATTCAAAAAGAAGATGTTAACTGTTGCTGATTAAGTTAGTCAATTTGATTGCATGACAACGATTTCATTCACTAATGAAGATTTGCAGTTAGGATTTCTCCTCCAAAATAGACCCTTTTACATGAGCGGGTTTATTTGAGATTATAAAATATCTCTTATCTTGATCGATTGTGGATAGGCTATCAACATTATGCCAATTTGCATCATGAAGCAACTTGGAATCTCTATGGACGAGTTGTCAAAAAGTAAACTAACAATTCAAGGCTTTAATCAACGGGGACAACGTGTCATTGGTATGATTCGCCTTAAGATGAAGATCGAAGAATTTGGGTCTTTCACTCTTTTCCATGTTATTGACTCCAAAACATCTTATGAGCTACTATTGGGGCGACCTTAGTTACATGAGATGGGAGTTGTGCCATCAACATTGCACAAATGCTTTAAATATTATCATGATGGAGAAGTGAGACAAGTCGTTGCTGAGACCAAGCCTTTCTCAACAGAAGAATCTCACTTTGCGGATACCAAATTCTACTCTGAAGCTGACCTTATCACGAAGGCACTTTCTAGTACCATACCAAAAGATCAAACTATCAAGAGAAAAATAAGAACAATTGTCAATAGATGACATCAAGCACTTGAAGAATGAAATGAACTTACCTGT